CCTGCTGCTCCTGCTGCTACTGCTGCTGCTACTGCTGCTACTACTGCTGCTACTGCTGCTGCTGCTGCTGCTGCTGCTGCTGCTGCTGCTGCTGCTGCTGCTGCTACTACAGCTGCTGCTGTTACAGCTGCTGCTACTGCTGCTGCTACTGCTGCTACTACTGCTGCTACTGCTGCTGCTGCTGCTGCTACTGCTGCTGCTGCTGCTGCTACTGCTGCTGCTACTGCTGCTACTACTGCTGCTGCTGCTGCTGCTACTGCTGCTGCTGCTGCTGCTTGCTGCTGCTACTGCTGCTGCTACTGCTGCTACTACTGCTGCTGCTGCTGCTGCTACTGCTGCTGCTGCTGCTGCTTGCTGCTGCTGCTTCTATCTCCATGCGACTGACCGCACTCACAGGCACTTGGCACAGAGTCAGTAAAGCTGCCAGGGTCTATGTCTCCCTGGGTACTGCTGGAACGTACCCTGGGTACGGTCAGGTATACCGGAACGTACCCTGGTACTATCTAATATGCCGGACCGTACCTCGCCACTAACGAGTCTAGGGAGTCGCCTATGCCTACTCCCTAACCCTAACCCTAACCATATCAGATAGTTACCAGGGTACGTTCCGGTACACCGGACCGTACCCAGGGTACATTCCGGCAGTACCCAGGGAGACATAGACCCTATGAGCGTCAGTAAAAACTGAAAATAATATGAACGCGGCACAAGACTACCCGCCTATTACACTTCCACTAGAGTTGTGTCACTGTATATATATTATATATATATATATATATATATGTATATGTTACTGTATATATATTATAGTGACACAACTCTAGTGGAAGTGTAATAAACGGGTAGTTTTTGTGAATGTGCCGCGGTCATATTATTTTCAGTTTTTACTGACTCTGTCCCAAGTGCCTGTGAGTGCACCTGCAGACACCGTGATGCTACGTGGATACGAGGGATTTGTTTGGTCGCGTTTTGTTTTGTTATAGTTTGGTTTAGGACGGAGAGGGACGGAGAGGAAGGAGAGCTCACCCTCTGTATCTCCCTTATGTATCTAACACCCGCGGACATCGTGATGCTACGTAGAGGCGACGGATTTGTTTTCACCTTGCCTCGTCGCACGCGGAGCCACAAGCCACTTACCTAAACATTACACGAGAAGAAAGAACGAACGGAGGGGGTAAAATAAATATATATATCGCCGGTGCTCGATGCACTAGTCTAGTCTAGTCTGCCAACAGTAGGAACAGAGAGGGAGGGAGGTTTCCCGGCCTCTCTTTCCCTAACCCGTGTAATAAAGTATGTAAAAATCCCTCAGTGAAGCAATAAATCCATCTCCAGCCTGTGCTGTGTTGGAAGGGCCACGTTACTTGTACGATGCGGTGACACCGACAACGATACATCCTGTGAATATATATCAGGGTGCGAAATTAACGCGAGTCCGGAGTCAAATACTCCCTGATTTACTGTCGGACTCCCTGATTTGACATATGCAGGCGTCCGTGTGACTCCCTGAAAATTCTGCTATACTAACTAGTTCGTTCCAGAGCACGGCCTCGCGGAATTACCGTATTTTTTCAGCAAATTTCCAAGGAAAATTTGGCAGACGTGCAACCCCATGAATCTTCAAAATAAGCACATGCGTTATTGTTAATATCTATAATTTGGAACTTCAGACTACAGACTCCCTCATTTTGCTGCGGACTCCCTCTTTTTGATGGTGAGGAGTCTCTTATTCAAAAATGAATTTCTACCCCTGATATGGTGTTTTGAGTTCGTACGCAAGCATTCGTCGTACGTTGGTCGACTTTCCTGGCCGATGCGTCTGTACACAAGCATTCGTACGTTGCGTGGACTTTCGTGGCTGAGCGACTGAAGCATCGCTGTGCCGATAAAGGCATACGCGCGCGAGCGAGTGTACACACAGCGGTATTGCAGCTCATGCGATCACCGACAATGTGTGTAATCGCTTTACTCTGATTCTCACTACATAAACTAAAGCTACAGAGCAAACATGACTTAAAAGTTTTAACCCCCCCCACACCCAGGCACCCACACACACACACACACACACACACAACCACCCACCCATCCCCGCTACCGCTACCACAAAAGAAGACACAAATGTAAGTGGAAAACTGTACGGCTTGTTTGAGAACATTGCCGTGGGGCCCCTACACAACTATGCAGATGAGAGAGGGTGAGCAGAGGATTGGATGCCAGAGCAGAGGACGAGACGCAGAGATCGAGACAGCGAGCACTGAAGATGCACTAGTGCAGAGCTGGGAGACGAGAGATGAGAGAGCAGTCCATGAGGACAGAGACGATGAGAGATTGGATGAGAGGTCAGACGACACGATCTGAGCTGATAAGATGATACGATGAGAGCAAGGCAAAGAGACCGAGAGACACGATTCAGTGGAGGTGTGAAGCGAGACGGGCAGAGCTATGAGAGAGAGAGAGACGGACGAGAGGCAGAGGCAGCAGATGAGGAGAGAGGAGACGCGGAGAGAGATGAGAGGAGAGAGAGGCGAGAATCGTAGCAGCAGAGAGAGAGATCCGGAGATGAGAGAGAGATGATTCACGAGTGAGGAGCAGCAGGCAGAGAGCACCGCGAGCGCATGAGGCAGATAGAGTAGGAGATAGAAGAGAGATGATGCATGAGCATAGAGAGAGATGACCTGAGATGAGAGCAGATGAGGTATGGATGAGAGAGAGAGACCGAGAGAGAGAGAGAGCCAGACGACGAGAGAGAGAGATTGAGACGGATGAGGAGAGAGAGGAGAGAGAGGAGAGAGAGAGGAGACGACGATGGAGAGAGGAGCGGGAAGAGACGAGAAGAGACGAGAGCAGAGAGCAGATCGAGATGAGAGAGAGAGAGACTAGAAAATGAGAAGGAGAGTAGAATGGCAGCAGAGCAGCGGCCGCTCGATGAGCACGAGCAGAGAGAGAGAGAGAGAGAGAGAGAACATGCTCCAACAAAGCGGGTTGAAAAAAACCCTCGAATGTGAGAGCATAATTACGACGACCGCGACGACAATCAAGAGATAATTTTAACTAATCACTCGTCTCGCACTCGCGTCAGATTAAAGGATTTGCGAGAGCGTCGACACGTGTCCTCAGGGTTCTCCAAGAGCACTTATAGCCTGGCGGCCCGCCAGGCTATCGTCGAGCCCCGCCATCCTAAAATGCACCCGCCACTCTAAATATCATAGCCGCCATGCTAAATATCATAGCCGCCATGCTAAATATAGCCCCCGGACCTCTCTAGCACGCAAACCGCCTTCGGCGATTTGAAACTAGGACCGTAAAGGCAGCACCCGCCATGCTATAATGAAAAAGCTTGGAGAACCCTGGTCCTCCTCCACAAACTATTACTCAACGACACTCGACGACGGACACTGTGAGTAATTACTACTACGATGGGTTTGTTTTTTCGCAGTAGCTACGCGTCCGGTCATCCATTACAAAGCTCAGATTCGTAGAATGGGAGCTGGGCGTCCGGTAACCGAACGCGTAGCCATGGCCTTGTCCCCCCCTCGCCAAAACAGGGAAGTGGGTTGGAATGAGTTGATTGATGATCGATTAATTAAGTTGATTGATGTCCCGCCCCGCACGTCATGAGGCGTGCGGAGGTGGTGGACCTGTGCCGGTAGCGGCACACCGGTTTGCCCTCGCGCTAATGCAGTCATACACCGTGCACCGAGCCACCCACGCACATACACACACATGCACACACGAACTTTGGCAGAAAAACCGGCCCTTTCTGGCAACAACTGCAGGTAGGTATCAACAAGTCGTTTACCACTGCAGGTGCAACATCCCATTTCCTGTACAGGCCCGAGTAAACGCACAATTAGGCGTAAAAATCACAAAGAATAAAGCTCACGTGGCAAAGGTAATGCATAGTCCTCGTGAATGCTAGCCGTACTCTCTCTACTCTACATCGTAAGAGGAAATCACACGTGAACAGTGTGTTAATATCGAACACAGGTCTTCGTGCTCATGCTTGTAATTCTCATACGGATGTTTTTTTCGAACGACGTGTGATTACCTATCGAGTGCACAACTGCACCGCTACCCGATACAACTGCACCGCTACCCAATACAACTGCACCGCTACCCGATACAACTGCACCGCTACCCGATACAACTGCACCGCTACCCGATACAACTGCACCGCTACCCGATACAACTGCACCGCTACCCGATACGATAATTTACGACATGACATCATGTTTTAATCGTTTCTCTGATCACGATATCTGTCACCAGCATGAAAGCACATCACCTAAATGTCATTTACGTATCTCTACTATACTATTAGCGGCGATGCTATGCCCACAATCCGAGTTATGGAGACCAACAGAAAAATCGTACAAGAGTATTGATAAGAAAGGGCATCAAATACTGAATGGTTTGTGATATCAAAGGGCAACTGTACCAGAGCCAAGCTCCTGCTATAAATGTCAACCTGGTTTGAAACCCCTGTATAGCTGCCAGGTAGCAGGAGGAATGGCTGTAGGTGGGTCAAGGGGTGCACACCCATTCTTTGTAATTTCAAGGCTGAATTTTCCAATATGCAGCCGAGATTTGTTTCAATCGTAACAGAATAATATTCTTCAGAATAGATAAATATATATAAAGCAGCAACCATTGCATTGCAAACGTATCTCTTAATAAGAACCTGTGGGTGCTCCGTGCAACTATGTGCGATACATGACAACACAATGCACCTCCAAACTGGGTTAAATTCTTACCGAAATTATTCTTACCGAACCCCATCTACCAGAATTCCTTGACCACCCTGAAATCTGGGCCTAAGGATATAAGAGCTGTCCACATTTGCACGAAAATGAATTGAGGACAGCACTTATATCCATGAACCGAAATCTATGACGCACAGAGCCGATATAAGCTCACGCCGTAACGTCGGTAGCTCTCACGGTCGGGTTCAACGTAATTCATGTCAACACTAGGCTGTCAGCTCGCCAGCTATATAGACCTTTATTTACATCTAGGTGCATGTACGTGAGAATACAACCCTTCAGACCCCAACAATAACATATTCCCGATCAATCAGAAGGATGCCGGAATAGCGACAGATATCAGAGCCATCGATATCCATAAATAAATGATCGAGCCAGCTAGTTCAAACCCCCGCCCACCGAACCCCCGCCCACCTAGTGCCCCGTCCATCGGACCCTGATGCACACAGCTCAAGACACTCGTCTGGTCACAATCACATATCATTTACTCGCACCCCGATACTACTAGATTATGATAACCCCACCCGGGTACTAGATCCGATATCGCAAGCAAGCAGACGCTGTGATGATAGTCGATACTATCGCATCTATGCACGCAGCCAGAATATGTAGTACGCGCGGTACGCACGCACCGTGTGCAACTCCTTCTATGTAGCGGCAGATTCCCACCTTAATGACCTAGCTCTAGAACTATAGCCCTTCGCTCTGCCACCTGTGACCGGTGACCTATGCCACCTGTGTCTGTGACAGAACGAAGGGCTATAGTTCTAGAGCTAATTCCCACCCACCTGCACAGCACGGTGAATGTACATAACATACATAGCGATGCCAGCCACCGTGGCCAGTCAACTTCTACTTCTAAGTTCTAGTTCTAGTAAAACCGGACACTGCCACTGGCCTTGGACTCGGACGTTAATTAATACTAAAGTAAAGAAAATATAACGACGCATTCACCCAGGGACGGATTGAGTTAGAGTTCTGGGCATATCCAGAGTATTCATACATGTGCTAATGAATTAAAACTCACTAGCGGCGAGACGCTATCGAATGGTGACGCCGCAAACGTGTGAACTGAACTAGAGTCAGAGAACAACAATAACAACAAGGTTTTCTGCCGGGCGCAGACGACAGCCTAGCGTCGTATATAACGCCGGCCCACACCCACTCACCGATGGTCGATGCAAATATATGTCAACATACCTAGATCAAAGCACTCGCTGCTTTCTACCTCACGCAGTGCAAGAAGTGTTTCTTCCAAGATTTCGCGCAATAACCCACAATGTTTGGAGAACTTCTTAAACTCGTGAGAGAGGCGCACTGCCATTTTCGCCGCTGCACAATCCGCCGATAGGCGTCGCCATAATCGGACGCTTAGTTATGCCGAAAAGCAGAGATGAACCGTGGCTGACCGTGACTGAATAAACTGTTAATAATCTAATAATTATTAGTGTTATAAATCCTTGTAGATGTAATATCAAGGCTAAATTTAACATTTCCTTTGTGTGTTTTTGTAGTTGATGACTCAAACTAATTGGTATGTGCGATGTTATCTTGGGTTGATTATAACGTCTACCGGATATCTGTGTCGGGTTTTTACTATAATAAATGTACACAAACTACCACTACATGGCAAAGTAAACGAAGGGCGATTGCATGGTGAGTAAGATACATATACACCGTTTTATTGCCGTTATCGTTTTCATGCTGTCAGTCTATAACCTTCTAGATATGATCACCGACACACTTAATCATAATATTAATAGTGTCATTGTATTTATCACTAAATGTTTTGATAAAATGGTGCAATTCGCAGTACCTAATTTTGTAATTGTCGTTCCGCAGAATTAGCATACATTCGGTTCAGCCAATCATGCATAGGATGCTAAAGCGAATTGGAGGTGAGTGTAGCTTACTCGGCAAACAGCAAATACGACCGCGACAGCGCAAAGTTTATACCGAATAAATTGGGCGCGATTAAGTCACATCAGTATGTGTCACATGATATGATAATTGATATGTTACCTGCAGCGTGTGCGACAAATTATATATCGCAGTTCTCATGCATGTGGATCTACCTGTGGGCAATGCATTAGTCCTACCAATCTTTGTAGGCAGTGCATTAGCAATCTGTAAGAGTTGTAAGCAAACAGATTATGGAAAGCTCCTTGCAGCAGACACAGTGTCGTTTCGCAACTCGCGACCATCAGGGCCCAAAGATATAAGAGCTGTCCACATTTGCACATGTCGCACACTGCGAAAATGAATTGGGGACAGCTCTTGTATCCTTGAACCTGCCACCATCAGTCTCACGTGTGGTTCAGTGTACGTATTCATCTGCCGCGCCATTCCTCAGGGATCAAGCTGTTGATTGGTCTGACCCTCACGATCCTCGGATTCGTCTTCATCAACTATGCATTCCGCAGCGACCCCTCCATTAAAGCCGCTCAGCTGAGCAGCTCCGGATCTTCTCTCATCGACGGTACGATGTCGTCAACGTCCATTACGCGGTCTGCGAATATAGATCCGGGGCGCATCGTCAGAGATAGGATTAGTCTTAACACGATCTGTTTTGCTTATCGAAACATCGTGAAGTTACGCGAATGGAAAATCCTGCAAAATCGTCTGAAGAATATATGTCATTTACAGTTAATAGAATATAATATATATATATATATATATATATTAGTATTAATTGATATTATATCATACAAATATATACACACATACAATGTATAATGCTGAGACGTTCTCGTTTCAACATGGCGTGTACGTACGTTCGTGTCTGTTGCAGACCTGCCATGTATCCTTGAGGACTCGTGCAGCGGAAGCGCAGGCAAGAACTACCGCGTAGCGTCGGGTGACGGCATGAGCGTCTATCCCATCGTCTGCTACGACCGAAAGCTGTGAGTCTGCTACGCAACGATACGTTTCCTAAATAAATGTCCGTCAAAGTAATTCTGCCATCAGATTATTCTCTATGCTAATGTGCGTGTCAGTGGAAGAGAAGACAAAATGCAGCAGGGTAGAGAATTTTAATAACTATTAACTCCAGCTGCTATTATAGTTTTGATATATGTTAATAATCGGTCATTCTCTGACAATCTCTACTGCTTCTGTCTCTTACAGCATTATGTCCGACAACAAACACAATGTTGGACGTGGCTTGAACATTGTATTTATAGATGGTGAGTGGAACTATAGCTAGTACAGCCATTATCAGGCAAAGCTCGGATTGTAAAAATGTCTGCCTTATTCTACCTTATAATATATTTTAACATTGAAGACAACATTTGCATATAAACGTGATTGGCACAATGATTAGTAACTCAATTAAAATGGGTAATTAACTTTTTCCGTTTTCAGACAAGACAAAAGAAGTGAAAAAACATGCTGTGTATGACACTTTTGAAACAGGTATCGAAACTTTTCCAGTGCAAAGTGATATATATAGATCTTATTTAGACGCATGTGTGTGGGTAGTTAAAACAATGAGTGCTTAACTTCGTATAATTTCTAGATGTTAGATAATTCTAGATCTTTAGCAGAATCTGTGTTGATAATCAGAGTGACCTAGGTAATAAATGAGAACTTATTCTGATTGTAAGGTGCATTGCTGCGTCTGTATTCGTTGCCAAACTCTTCCTTCTTCGCATAAGAAATCCTCTTGTATCGCTTGCAAGTCAAATTAGTAAACACGTTACAAAAATAACTGCACGATACGCAGGAAATTATGACGGAGCCACTAATTAGTGTTTTAATTAAACAGTAATTAAGCATGGGTAACCTGATTATCAATCATGAAATTATCTTGAAATAAAATTCAAAAATCTGTCGGCTTTCAACAAAGTTCTTACATGTAAGAGAAGCGTAAGTAGAGCTTCACTAGTTACCGTTGCCAGGGAGGAGAAAGCTGCTCTAGTTACCGTTGCCAGGGAGGTGAAAGCTGCTCTAGTTACCGTTACCAGGGAGGTGGGAAGAGCTACACTAGTTACTTTTGCCAACAGGCAGTTGTTACTGAATTGCGTGTGATTGTTGTTGTTGTTGTTGTTATTGTTTAGATATCGCTCTGGTGGAAATGCTGCTGAGCACTCAAGACAACTGGATCATCATGGTGGCTTGCTTCGATGAATGCGCCCAGAAGTAACTATCACCCCGATGTTGAGTAGCTGTTGTCTCATACCTGTACTGTCGTGGTGTGGGGGAGGCTCGCAGTAGCCTGTACTGCGGTGGTGTGGGGGGAGGCTCGCAGGCTGGGATGGGAAGTATAGTAAGCTGTGATGTGAGGATGGGTGGAAGGTGGGGCAGGGTTGTGGAGCATAGGCACAGGAAGTATCGCAAACAAAGCTGGGGAAGGGGGGAGCAGGATGGAAGAGGAGGTGCCAGATGTGGTGATTGTGGATGATCGGGTTACAGAATGACACTGAATAGGCAAGGAAGGGCTGAATAGGCTTGGGTTATGTATGAGCTAACGTGAGGGTGTGGGTTAGGGTGATGTATGAATGAGGGTGTGGGCTTGGGTAATGTATGAGTGAGGGTGTGGGTTAGGGTGATGTATGAGTGAGGGTGTGGGCTTGGGTGATGTATGAGNTGAGGGTGTGGGCTTGGGTTATGTATGAGCTAACGTGAGGGTGAGGGTGATGTATGAGTGAGGTTGAGGGTTAGGGTGATGTATGAGTGAGGGTGAGGGTTAGGGTAATGTATGAGTGAGGGTGTGGGTTAGGGTAATGTATGAGTGAGGGTGTGGGTTAGGGTGATGTATGAGTGAGGGTGTGGGTTAGGGTGATGTATGAATGAGGGTGTGATGTATGAATGAGGGTGAGATGTATGAGTGAGGTTGAGGGTGAGGGCTGAATCCTCGGTGCTTGCTTGCAGACTGAGCACTCACGCACGTAACCTGCTGCAGAGGTTCGGCAGTGGACTGGTGAAGGAGCTGCAATACCGCGATGCCTTCGTCATGCTGGGCCAGAAGGGACTGCAGCTAGGAATGGCCACAGAGAAGGTGGGTGTCGCCATGGCAACGAACCCCTGCGCAACAAAACAACTGCCAAACATATTTTTATAGTTTATTTTAACTATTAATTATAGCCTTTATAATTATGTGAATTATATTTAATTATATGTGTTGATTAAATAGTATTAATAATAATAATAATAATTACTATAAGTGTAAAACCCTGTTAATGCAGTTAGTTGATAACTCATTGTCTCGGTTTCTTTACAGCTGGAACATAAGAAGAAGAGGGAGTTTGGGAGTAGAGTCGAGGTCAACGGCTGCATGACGTTCCCACGTAGGTGCTTCTTCTCTGTGACAGTATAGAGAGACCATATGACAGAGAGAAAGATAGAGAGAGAGAGAGAGAGAGAGAGAGAGNGCGGGGAGGGTGCGTGCGTGCGTGCACGGGGAGGGTGCGTGCGTGCGTGCGTGCATGGATTTAACACGTGTTATAACACGGCCATGTTCCCACCATTATAGTTAGTTTTGTGTCATCACCATTGCTACCCGTATCCACGGTTACATAACTCACATTGCCACGGTTACAGTTACATCGTATGTCATCGTCGCCACCCGTATCCATGGTTACATAACTCACATTGCCATGGTTACAGTTACATCATGAAGTCGCTGAACGATGCTGGGCGAGGTCTGAACGTCGTCACGTATAACGGCACGTCCCGGCAGGTCGCCCGCGTCGCTCACTTCGACACGTACGCTAAAGGTAATCGCTTCTAACTTAATACATGTTAAGAACGTATGCAGGGTCGTGAAGCGTATGCAGGGTCGTGAAACGTATGTAGGGTCGTGAAGCGTATGCAGGGTCGTGAAGCGTATGTAGGGTCGTGAAGCGTATGC